CCCTGTCAGGGCGGTCATTGGTGGTAGCTAGGCACCATCTAGTTCTTCTGGTCTCAGGCTGATGCAGTCTCTGGTTTATGTGCCCCTTTCTGTCTCTTGGGCTAATACTTCCCTTGTGACTTTGGTGTTCTTCATTCTCCTTTGCTCCAGGTGGCTTGGGACCAATTGATGCATTTTAGATAGCCGCTTGCTAGCTTTTAAGACCCGAGACACCACTCACCAAAGTAGGATGCAGAACATTTTCTTAATAAACTTTGTTTTGCCAGTTGACCTAGGTGTCCCCTGAAAGCATGGTCCCCAGACCTCTGCCCTCTGCTACTCTATCCCTCAAAGTGTTTGGTTGTATTCAGGAAACTTCTTAGCTTTGGTTTAGTCCAGTTGTGCTGACTTCCTCTGTAGTGTGTGCTGTCCTTCCCTTCACCTAAGGTAATTCTTGTCTACTATCTCGTTAGTGAATAACCCTCTCCCTCCCTTCCCACCTGCATAACCATCAAAGAATGTTTTCTTCTGTGTTTAAACCTTTTCTTGTGTTCTTATAACAGTGGCCTTATACAACATTTGTCCTTTTGTGACTGACTAAATTCACTCAACATAATGCCTTCCAGATTCCTTCATGTTATAAGATGTTTCACAGATTCATCATTGTTCTTTATTGTTGTGTAGTATTCCATTGTGTGAATATACCATAATTTGTCCATTCATCTGTTGATGGGCACCTAGGTTGTTTCCATCTTTTCGCTATTGTGAACAGTGCTGCAGTGAACATGGGTGTGCATATATCTATTCATGTGATGGCTTTTATTTCTCTAGGATATATTCCAAGGAGCGGGATTGCTGGATCATATGGTACTTCTATTTCTAGCTTTTTAAGGAAGCACCAAATCGATTTCCAAAGTGGTTGTACCATTTTACATTCCCACCAGTAATGTATAAGTGTTCCTGTCTCTCCACAGCCTCTCCAACATTTATTATTTTGGAGGCCACTGTATTTTGAGTGTCTTCCATCCTAGGGCTCATCTTTCAGCACTGTATCAGACAATATTCTGTTGTGATCCATAGGAATTTTACTGACTATTTAGAATTAGATCACTAGGACTTTCTTCCCAGTCTTTCTTAGTCTGGAAGCTCCATGAAACTTGTTCACCATGGGTGACCCTGCTGGTATTTGAAATATCAGTGACATATCTTCAGCATCAAAGCGACACATAAGCCACCACAGTACAACAAACTGACAGATGGACGGTGGCATTAGCTATTAGGGAAAAGGAACTAAAAACCATAATGGAATACCACTTCACATTCACTAGGATCGCCATCATCATCATAATAATAATAAAATAACAAGTGTTGGTGAGAATGTGGAGATATTGGAACCCTTTTATATTGCTCGTAGGAACATAAAATGGCTCAGCTGCTGTGGAAGACAGTCTGGCAATTCCTTGAAAGTTAAACGGAATTACCATGTTGTTGTTGTTGTTGGGTGCCATTGAGTCAGTTCCAACTCATAGCACCCTATGTACTATAGAACAAAACAATGCCCGGTCCTGCGCCATCTTCACAATCGTTGTTATGCTCAAGCCCATTGTTGCAGCCACTGTGTCAGTCCATCTCTTGGAGAGTCTTCGTCTTTTTTGCTGACCCTGTACTTTACCAAGCATGATGTCCCTCTCCAGGGATTGATCTCTCCTAACAGCATGTCCAAAGTATATAAGACATAGTCTTGCCATCCTTGTTTCTGTGGAGCATTCTGGTTGTACTTCTTCCAAGACAGACCTGTTTGTTCTTTTGACAGTCCATGGTATATTGCGTATTCTTCACCAACACAATTCAAAGGTGTCAATTCTTTGGTCTTCCGTATTCATTGTCTAGCTTTCCCATGCATATCATGCAATTGAAAATACCATGGCTTGGGTCAGGTGCACCCTAGTCTTCAAGGTGACTTCTTTGCTTTTCAACACTTTAGAGGTCTTTTGCAGCACATTTGCCCAGTGTAGTGCATCTTTTGATTTCTCAACTGCTACTTCTGTGGGTGTTGATTGTGGAGCCAAGTAAAATGAAATCCTTGACAACTTCATTCTTTTCTCCATTTACCATAATATTGCTTATTGGTCCAGTTGTGAGGGTTTTTGTTTTATTTTGTCAAGGTGTAATCCATACTGAAGGCTGTGGTCTTTGATCTTCATCAGTAAGTGCTTTAAGTCCTCTTCACTTTCAGCAAGCAAGATTGTGTCATCTGCACACTGCAGGTTATTAATGAATCTTCCTCCAATCCTGATGCCACCTTCTTCTTCATATAGTCCAGCTTCTTCGATTATTTTCTCAGCATACAGATTGAATAGGTATTGTGAAAGGATACAACCCTGATGCACACCTTCCTGACTTTAAACCACGCAGTATCCCATTGTTCTGTCTGAACAACTGCCTCTTGATCTATGTGCAGGTTCTTCATGAGCACAATTAGGTGTTCTGGAATTCCCATTATCTGCAGTGTTATCCATAATTTTTTATGATCCACACAGTCAGTTGCCTTTGAATTCTGTTAGTTTGTTGTACAGTGGGGGCTTGCATGTTGCTCTGATGCTGGAAGCTATGCCACCAGTATTCAAATACCAGCAGAGTCACCCATGGTGGACAGGTTTCAGCTGAGCTTCCAGACTAAGACTAGGAAGAAGGACCCAGCAGTCTACTTCTGAAAAGAATTAGACAGTGAAAACCTTGTGACTAGCAGCAGAACATTGTCTGATATAGTGCCAGAAGATGAGACTCCAGGTTGGAAAACACTCAAAAGACAACTTGGGAAGAGCTGCCTCCTCAAAGTAGAGTTGACCTTAATGATGCAGATGGAGTCAAGCTTTCAAGACCTTCATTTGCTGATGTGGCTCAACTCAAAATGAGAAGAAACAACTGCAAACATCCATTAATAATAGGAGCATGGAATGTACAAAGTATGAATCTAGGAAAATTGAAACTGTCAAAAATGAAATGAAACACATAAACATTGGTATCCTAGGCATTAGTGAGCCGAAATGGACTGGTATTGGCCATTTTCAGTCAGACAGTCATATGATCTGCCATGCTGGGAATGACAACTTGAAGAGGAATGGCATTGCATTCATTGTCAAAAAGAACATTTCAGGATCCATCCTGAAGTACAATGCTGTCAGTGATAGGGTAATATCCATATGCCTACAAGGAAGACCAGTTAATTTGACTATTATTCAAATTTTCACACCAACTACTAAGGCCAGAGATGAAGAAATTGAAGATTTTTACCAGCCTCTGCAGTCTGAAATTCACGGAACATGCAATTAGGATGCATTGATAATTACTGGTGAGTGGAATGCGAAAGCTGGAAACAAGGAAGGATTGGTAGTTGGAAAGTATGGCCTTGATGATAGAAACGATGCCTAAGATTTCATGATAGAATGTTGCCAAGACCAACGACCTCTTCATTGCAAATACCTTTTTTTGCCAGCACAGACGGTGACTATACACGTGGACCTCGCCAGCTGGAATACACAGGAATCAAATCGACTACATCTGTGGAAAGAGACAATGGAAAAGCTCAAAATCATCAGTCAGAACAAGGCCGGGGCTGACTGTGGAACCAACGGTCAGTTGTTCATATGCAAGTTCAAGCTGAAACTCAAGAAAGTTAGAATAAGGCCACGAGAGCCGAAGTATGACCTTGAATATATCTCACCTGGGTTTAGAGACCATCTCAAGAATAGATTTGTCGCATTGAACACTAACGACCGAAGAGCAGACGAGTTGTGGAATGACATCAAGGAAATGATAGATGAAGAAAGCAACAGGTGATTAAAAAGACAGGAAAGAAAGAAAAGACCAAAATGGATGTCAGAAGAGACTCTGAAACTTGGTCTTGAACATCGAGTAGCTAAAGCAAAAGGAAGAGATAATGAAGTAAGAGAACTGAATAGAAGATTTCAAAGGGTGGCTTGAGAAGACAAAGTATCATAATGACGTGTGCAAAGAGCTAGAGATAGAATTACCATATGAACCAGCAATTCCACTACTGGGTACATACCAAAAGAATTGAAAGCAGATATTCAGACAAAAACTGTATATGAATGTTCATAGCAGAACTATTCACAATAGCCAAATGTCCATGAATGGATAAACAAAATATGGTTTATGTGTACAATGGTGTATTATTCAGCCATCGAAAGGAAGGAAATACTGATACATACTACAACATAGATGAACATTGAAAACATTATGCTAAGTGAAAGAAGCTAGAGACAAAAGGTCACATATTGTTTGATTCAATTTATATGAAATATCCAGAAGAGGCAAATCTACAGAGACAGAAAGCAGATTAGTAGTTGTGAAGGGTTTGGGGGAGGGGAAAATAGGAGTTAACTGTTTAAGGGATATAGGGTTTCCATTTGGGGTGATGAAAATGTTCTGGAACTAGATAGTGGTGGTAGTTGCACAATATTGTGAATTTACTAAATGTCACTGAATTGTACACTTTAAAGCGGGTGAAATGATGAATTTTAGTTACGTGTATTTTACCACAGTAAGAAAAAAATAAATGCTTTGGAAAGTACTGTAAATGATCTTGAGTGCTATTACCTAAAGGTAATCGTAGTCAACGCTGTTAATATTTTTTGTATGCCCAGGCATATATTTTCATGTTTTATATTGTTGTTATCATGTTATATAAGTAATTTTTAATGTTTGCTTAATTTTTAATTTCATAGATGGCATAAACATCACTTTAATGATTGTTCAGTATTCTATCAATTGGCTGCAGCAATGGACTCAAACATACCAAAGATCATGAGGATGGTGTAGGACCGGGCAGTGTTTTGCTCTGTTATACATAAGGTGGCCGTGAAGTCGGAGCAGACACCATGGCAACTAACCACAGCAACAACATACTGCTGGACATTTCGGTTGCTACTTATTGTTCTCCCTATTGCAGTAAATATGCATGTATACCTACGAGTGTCTTTTCTTTTTCTTTATTTCAGCACAGATGTTTTTCAAAGATTGGGCTCTAATTCAGCTCTGAGTACTTCAAAAATAGCATCATTCGAAGAAGCATTTCTATATCTTCAAAAGTTAATGGTGGCTGTGAAGGATATTCTTGAAGGAATTCAGAGGTAAACACTATGTTAATTTAAAGCTTCATTTATTTTTTACTTTCTTCTTCTAGGCTTATCAGCTTTTTCAGAATCGCTGGGGCTAACCAAAAGGGTCGGCAGTTCAAATCCACCAACTGCTCCTTAGAAGCCCTATAGGGCAGTTCTACTCTGTCCTATAGGGTTGCTGTGAGTCGGAATCAACTCAGTGCAATGGGTTTGTTTTTTTTTGGTTTTGGGAGTCTTTCAGCAACTTTTATAAACTAATGGCTTTTAGATTCACCTATTTCCTCCTCCCCTGCAAAGACTCACTATTTCTAGTTTGGACTATGAGAATGTTTCACTTTTTTCATTTCTAGAAAAAATATACCTGATTGTAAGCTTTGTGAGGAACACTATTTTCTTTACTGTGTAACTGTAGCTCCTAGATCTGTGTCTGGCATGTAATAGGCCCTCAGTAATCAAGTGTTGAGTAAGTATATGTGCAAGTAATTATCACTGACCTTTCAAAGCAAATATATGTTGATATTTGTTAACTTGAATGATTTTCCCTAATACCGTCTCACATTACTAAAAACCAAACCCGTTCCGACTCATGGTGACACCATGTGAGAGTGGAACTCTGCTCCATAAGATTTTTGTGGCTGTGATCTTCACAGAAGCAGATTGCCAGGCCCTTCTTCCACAGTACAGCTGGATGAATTTGAACTTCCAAACTTTTGGTTAGTAAGCAAGTGCAAACCACTTGTACCATCCAGGGACCCTCCTTTACATTACTACAGACTGAACAAAGTTTGAGAAGCAGTGTAATCTTATGATGCTTTGAGGCTTATGCGTATGTGATTATTTTAAATATTTGTGAAGCATATAGAAAACAGTGCCAAAAAGCTATAGAATGGACCAATCACCTTTATAGCATGAAATCAAATGCTTTCTTTTGTGGCACTAAAGGAAGGTAATTCTAAACTTAATCTTCCAATTTTGTTGATATATGCCAAAATTGCTTGACCTGATTCGATATTGCAGCTTGTGTGAAGAAAAATATTGTTATTTATAAATTTAAAAAAAAAAAAAAGAGTTGATTAGTGTGTTCTGAGTTTGAGAAATTTAAATTTTCAGACCAACAGTATTTTTTTCTCCTCCTCAGTGGTTCTTAGAAGTCCATCTTATTGTTAATGCAAAAATAATTTTTACCTTTTTTTGGATCACAGTTGGCTAAATGCTTCTTAGAATATAAAATTATCAAAACCTTTTGCCACTTTTAAGTTATTAATGAATTGAAAGCATGGCAGATTCCAAGGCAAGTTAAACATCCTCTCTAAATGCAAATAGTCCGTTTATAACTTAAAGCAGTATTATATAGAGTAGCTCTGTGAGGGAAAACTGCTCACGTCTGATTTTAGCTATGTAAAAACTGTCGCTCACTCTAGGTTGCATAAAAGCCACGCTTGATAGTACCAGGGCAGATTAACCAGTAAGCACGGTATGCACAGGCTTACAGTAAGCAAGGTCACATGGCTTTAATTATATTTTCTTGCTAATCTGTAGTGTACAATTTCATATGCAGAATTCTAGACCTTATTTGAGACTTACAGGAATCAAAATATCTGTATATATATTTTGTAAAGCAGGAAAGTGGTATTTTTAATAAGCTTTTCAGGGGATTTGTATGTAAGTGATGGGGGACCATACGTAAACTAATCCAACCTCCTGAAATAGTCTCATTAGAACCTGTTTTGTTTTTTTTTTTGCCATGAGCTTCCAGTAGGGGGTGTTAAAGAATAAAAAGATTTGCTCATTTCAGCATTCATTATTATTAACAGTAAACTAGTAAAATTGCAAGGTTTTGTTTTTTTTTTAACTTTCAGGCAGTAGGCATTTAAATAAAAATGTATTGGAGATGAATAATATGTTGTCGGTTGTACATGTGCTTTTTAAAATCTTTAAAGAAACAGAATCATGTTAAATCAAAATAGTTTTATGGAGGGGCTAAATACAAAAAAAAACAAACCAAACCTGCTGCCGTCGAGTCAATTCCAAGTCATAGCGACCCTATAGGACAGAGTAGAACCATTCTGTAGGGTTTCCAAGGAGTGGCTGGTGGATTTGAACTGCCAACTTTTTTGGTCAGCAGCCGAACTCTTTTTTTCTTTTTCTGGGTGGCGAGATCTGTTTCTTTCTTTTTTATTTTCTTTTGTTTTTAATTGTGCTTTAGATGAAGGTTTACAGAATAAGTAGTTTCTCATTAAACAGTTAGTACACATATTGTTTTATGACAGTGGTTAAAAACCCCATGACATGTCAGCACTGTCCCTTCTCAACCTTGGGTTTCCTATTACCAGCTTTCCTTTCCCCTCCTGCCTTCTAGTCCTTGTCTCTGGACTCTTGTGCCCCATTAGTCTCATTTTGGCTGAATGGTGAACTTTGGGAGTGACTTCATTACTGAGCTAAAAGGGTGTCCGGGGGCATACTCTCAGGGTTACTCCAGTCTCTATTAGGCCAGTAAGTCTGGTCTTTTTTTGTGAGTTAGAATTTTGTTCTACATTTTTCTCCAGCTCTGTCTGGGACCTTCTGTTGTGATCCCTGTCAGAGCAGTGGGTGGTGGTAGCCAGGCACCATCTAGTTGTACTGAACTCAGTCTGGTGGAGGCCATGGTAGTTGTGGTCCATTAGTCCTTTGAACTAATCTTTCCCTTGTATCTTATTTTCTTCATTCTCCCTTGCTCCCAAAGGGGTGAGACCAGTAGAGTATCTTAGATAGCTGCTCACAGGCTTTTAAGACCCCAGATGCTACTCACCAAGGTAGAATGTAGAACATTTTCTTTATAAACTGTGTTATGCCAGTTGAGCTAGATGTTCCCTGAGACCATGGTCCCCACAGCCCTCCGCCCAGCAATTTGGTCCCTCAAGGAGTTTGGATGTGTCTATGGAGCTTCCACGACCTTTCCTTGTACAAGTTGTGCCGGCAGCTGAACTCTTAACTTCTGCACCACCAGGGCTCCACTGGGTTAAATATGGGGAGATTTTTTAATTTTTTAAACATTGGAAAATACACTCAACTTTGTAGTGATTACAAATTGATTAGCATTTTTGATAGTTGTTGAAGTGGAATACTGGTAGTCCCCCACTTGCAATGTATTCTAGTTACGACAAACTTCGCTTACGACCGTCCTTTTTTTTTTTTTTTTTTGTCCATCTTATAGCTAGTAGTATGGTCTACATATAATATTGTAGTACTTAATTTGCTGATGTTATCATTCTCATGCCAGTCCTCAAAGACAAATAAAGATGGGATTTATAAGATACTGGTAATAATGAAAACTAAAAAAGAAAAAGAGGTATTTGACCCATGTCAGAACCGATTTACAACAGTCGTCAGAACAGAACCTGTCATAAGTCAAGGACTACCTGTAGTTTCATTTGGTTTTGAGGTATGTGCTCAGTGAATATATGTCACCTCTATTCTCTTTTATTTAAAAAATAGCAAATCATATGGTGTTACATTGGGAGTCAACAATAGGGTGACTATTAACCAAGTCCTTCAGTTAAAGAAGTGAATGAAAATATATTTTTTAAACTAAGAGCTTGGAATTCCAGTTCCAGATTTATCCCTTTGTAGCTGACTTTAGGCATGTCATCTACCCTCTCTAAGCCACAGTTTCTTTTCTTTTTAAATCAGATTCATGATACTTTCTTCATAAGAATAATGAGATGATTTATGGGAAAATACTTTTTACTGTATCATATTTACAGTATTAGTGTTTGTTTTCTTCTTAAAGCTGATATGTTAAATTTGAAATGTTTAAAAATGTATATTTCAATTTTAATAAAGCTCTACACATAATTTTGGTAAGTTGTGATTGAAAATATTGATGGACCAGTTGTCTATATAGTTATGCAACCAGTGGCAGAATACCTAAATTTGCAAAGCTGAAAAAAAGTGTGAGATGTATCTAAAGGGGTGTGACTCAAGTCACAGCCTTACTCAAGTCACATCCTTACTCAAGTCACCATCTTACTCAAGTCACACTCTTCCTTGAGGGTGTGACCTGCATCCAATATGTATGGACTTTCTTGCAAAGCTGGCTCTTGCTGTGGATCCTGCATCCAACTCGTCATCATCTGACCTCTGGTTCTTGGGACTTGAGCTGGCAGCCTGCCGTCTGACCTGCCGATTCTGGGATTCACCAACTTCCGCAGCCCTGTGAAGTAGCAGCCTGTTGTTTGACCTGATTCACCAACTTCTGTAGCCTTGTGGGCCAGCAGCCTGTCATCTGACCTGCTGATTTGGGTTTGTCAGCCTCTGCAAACACATGAGTCAGGAGAAGCCTCCAGACTGATGCCTGACCCATGCATTTGGGACTTACCTCCACAACCACACGAGCGATTTCCTTGAGATAAATCTCGTGCTATATATACCCTTCACTGGTTTTGCTTCTCTAGAAAACCCAGCCTAAGACTTCTTGGAAGAACAAAGGTAGATACAGTGATGCTTCACATAATGTCCGTTTCGGCAGTGTCTGACTGTGTATACATCCACGTTCCCATAAGGTTATAACAGAGTTCAGAAATCCTGATCGATAAATGGAACATAGTGGACGTAACCGGACATAGTGAACGCAACATTTTCCCACACTCAACGTGTATCTCATGTCTGTTGTATACAAAGTGATTGCACTGCTAGGCGTATAATGGTACATATATAACCCATAATACATATGTCTTGATAGTCATAATAAACGCCTATGTTACTAGCTTATGTACGTCCTGTACTGTACTCTCTATCATTGTTATTTTTTATTGTTGTAGTTTAAGTGAAAGTTCACATTTCAAGTTAGTCTCTCATACAAAAATTAAACATACATTGTTATGTGACCATAATTGCTCTCCCTATACTGTGACAGCACACTCCTTCAGCAATTCTCTCTGTATTTTCTGTCATTCCTCCCCTGTTCTTGTACTCCAGTCACTCATAGGTTATTCCTCTTGATAGAATCTCACATAATTCTTAGGGTTTGTTCA